ACACAACTAAGTGTTTTATAGTGGGAGAAGATGGCTTACTGAGACCTGAAAATTTTGTTTCTCATCCCGGTGCCTCCTTCCTTGACTCTCTCTTCATCCAGTGACTCAAAAGATCAGTCATTCAAACAGCTTTGACTCTAAGACAAGCAACAACCATTGGGATGGGGAAAAAAAACAAAAAAGACAAAAAACTTGTGCCATGCGTTTATATCAGTGGAATGATAGGAAAGTCTGAAAGTCTTGTTTGGATGAGATCTCTGAAGATTATCCTAGTCCAGCCTTGCTTTAGATTATTTTTAGTCTAACTCTTATGTCAAGACTTGTTCGAAAGTCACAGAGGCCTGTTCAAATTTATAAACAGCTGCTAAAAAATCCCCAGCAGATTCAAGCCTGTTCAGAAACCTGGGGGAAAAAAAAAAAGAACWAAACCTTATGGTACCTGATAAGCTCATTTTCCCCACTCCCAAGAGTAATAATACTTCATTAAAGAGAGAAGAGGAAAAGCCAGCCACATAGATCAGCGTGGCAGCACATGACTGCAGTGATGTGCAAGCGATGCTGTTCTGGTCCTTGGTGGGAATGAGACCCTTCTTGCTGCAGCCTCTCTCTTGYGATCTGGCACAAATGGCTTCTGAGGCTGTTATGCCTTCCCAAAAAATACATGCAGTGTTGGAAATGCCACCACCCACCAGCATGTGGGATGCTGCCACACTTCTCTTTGGCCTGCAGCTCACAGGAACTGCTGCACAGTTGACAAGAGACAAAAGCCTGGTTTTTGAGAGATTTGCACCCAGCGCTAGATACTGTTGTTCCAGGAGTGGGGGGCACACACAGGCACAGCTTCTTGCCCCAAAATTTGATATGCTAGTTAAAATGGAAATATTTTCTTCTTCTTGATGGGCCTCTTTAAGGGAAATGCTTGTCAAGCACAGCAGCATAGGCTGTGTAAAATAAACATCTTTTGGGTCCTTTCACAGCTCACTTTCCCTTTTCTCCCCCTTTTTTTTTCCCTAGATACCAACAGATTACTCCTCCTTTTGAGGTTTCCTCCCCTGCAAAACCTGTGGGCTCCCTCCTTGCTCTCAGTCCCCCAGGCTTGCTTTAGGTTACTTAATGAAGAATTGTGCTCATCAATTCTAGACCTGGGTGTTAGACTGTATAATTTAAAACCAGTTATAACCTTAAGCACAATTATTTAATCACAGTGTTTAGCAGATTACAGGTTCAAAGAGTTATATAAACACCAGGCTGGATTTTCAGGCTGTGAGCCTGAAACAGGGCATAGAGATGGCTTTGCCTTCCCATTATCTTTCCACTCATCACCTGTGTCTTTAATGGCAACAAATCATAGCTACAAGGGTGCTATCATTTCTTCCACCTTACAAGAGAGTCACAGCCTGCTCCTCTTGCAGCAATTGCACTTCCTGCTTTTGAGATGCCTTCTCACACACCTCCATGCTAAGGAAAGGAGTGAAAATAGGCAGTCCCCTGTTTGGGWCCACCTTAAGCCCTGTTCCTGAAATTTGGCTTTGGTTACACAGAAGAGGACTATGTAGCATAGAGATTATATAGGAATGAAATAGCCTTTCATGATGTTGAAAGTAGCCTACATCTGGGGCTTAAAGAATTTAATTCACAGCTACATAGATGTCACACAGTGATATTCCACATTATGGACAGTATTTCAAATCTTGTTGTCATTGCTAGATGTAATGGTCTACTCCTGATAGTTCAGGGACAGACTGAGTGACTTTTTCTGCTGTATGCTCTCCATCATTGCTCTTGTATGATGAAGTTTGGGTACTGCTGTTAAATCTCATAGCAACCCAAGGGAACTGGCTGTCTATTTACTCAGATTAATTTCCTGATTATCAGCCAGCTAACTCATTGCGGCAGGTTCTACCTTATTTTCTTTTTGTGATTCTTTGCTGATCACTCCTGATCTCACGCAATTTTCTTGTGAGGAACATCAGCTCTAAATAGGAAAGAAGAGCATTTTTAATTTGTTGTTAATTCATACACATTTTTCACCCAGATATTACTGTTGCTTTTAGAAATATGATATTTCAGATAAGGCATTTCTTTTTGTTATAACAGGACTCTCACCTTCATTACCATTTTACATCCTTTGTGAAATTAAGGTCTTTCACAATGATCTTCTCATGTTTGCCAAATTATGTAATTTATTGGTTTCTGAAAATACCCAGAAGTTCATGTTCCTTGTGTGTAAATCCAATCAACTCTTACCCTTTCCTTCCCTTAAGCAAATATTGAACCTACTAGAAATTTTCCTGTTGACCATCCTAAGGGGAAGTGAAATTTGCCAACAGATTTCACTGGGAAAAGTGTTTGGGGTTAGATCACCCAAACATGATGTGACAGGGACCTATATCCAATTGTTTTACAGTTGCCAAGGGTTTAGTGCTCTTATCTGAGCTATAGGTAAGCCAGGAGCAGCTTTTCTCTTATGAGAAGTTTAAACCCACAACTCAATGGATAGTTCCTTACTATTCAAACTGATTCAGTAAATTCTTGACCTAGGGAAGTGTTTCCAGGAAAATGTTCTTACCCAAGCACCAGATCTCCAAGAATATGCTGTTGCTGGCAAAGAGCAGAATATGGGCCAGTTGCTTACACTTGGATGATGTGTGTCACGAACAGTACCTGCATGCTTGTTTTCTTACAAATGTTAATCTGCTTTAGAGATTATATATGTTTT